TTTTTTTTTTTTTTTTTTTTTTTTTTTTTGTTCAGTTCTTTGCAGCTCGTTACTTGTACAGTACGCCCACTTCTTACTGCGGAGGGCTATCTGTATGTCCACCTGTGTGATTCCACTGCCTATAGCTGATTAACAAAAGCATGATAAAAACAGCTTTCTCCTCAAACATGCAGGGCTCGTGGAGCATCAGAAAAGATCATGTGGGTCTAATTGTTGGAACAACCTGACATTCTGTCTTTCCAATAATTAACAGCTGAAGGAAGACTCAAAGCCACTCAGAGATTTGAATGTTCTGAAGGCCTGCCAGCCCAAGGTCCTTTCTGGTTAACAAACTGAAAGCCTGCGAGAAAAGAAGGAAAAGGAAACTCTCTCTGCTGAAAACAGGAGCACACACAGCCAATCTGGAGCTTCATATTGAAGGTGTTGTCAGTGTGATTGATTCATATAAATGAGACTGACTGACACACTGTATAAACACTGAACTTAGGTCCAAATCCAGCTCTTTAGTTTCATGAAGGTTAAAGCGAGCTAGCTGTTAGCTCAGTCTGATCAGATGCCATCTACAACAGGTAGGATTTTAATTGTTCACAACCTTTAACAGGTAAAACAATCATAGGCTGCAAAAGACAAGAAGAATTTTACTAAACAGAAATGTAATCTTTTTGTGATCCTGCCGACAACGCCAAAAAACTGTSGTGGCAAGATTTACCAAGGATGCAGAAACACGCTGGAATGAATGCACAGAAAGTCTGTGTGTATGGTCATCAAATGATTTAATCTGAGCAACAACAAAGCAGAAGTCAATCAGCAAAGTCTGTCAAGTTGTGRCTGCTGCCTCAGCGTAGAGCAGCCGATAATATAACATCATGTGACATGCTTACAACCAATCACAGTTAGCCAACTGCGAACCATCTAACCAATGACAGGGCTGTCAGCCTGGAAACACCTTATCAGAATAAAAGAGGTCATGCATTGCTGGAGTCTTGAAGTCTGGGCCGATAGAGTAAAACAGCCGAAACTAGTTATCATAAGATATGAGTGCCGGACAGCGTCAAGGTAAAACAGACATAAATAATTAGTCCATAGCATTCTGTTTTACAGAAAGTTTGAAACACCTGCCTTTAACATTAAAGCTTTATTTTTCTCTCACTGCTATTTGTAAGGTTTGTTCAGCAGTATTTCTAATAYCATACTACTTTACCATTAATACAAACATCCTCAGAGATTCTTTGGTATTGTGCCTTTTTAAAAAATTTTTAGTGACTATGATTTTTGTTGTTTTGTTTGCTGACCTTCAGATTCCGTGTGGCTCTTTTTGCTTGTTTCTAACAAAGAAAACGAAGCCTTGGAAAAAAAAACTCAACAAACAAATCAAAAACACTTAGTTCTAACTGACAGAACTGAAGGCCAAAATAACTAGCAGCAAAAACAAAAAGAAACAAACAAAAAAGGCAAAAACCTTACTCTGAAAACCAATATTTCAAACATWTCCAAGTTTCTTTAGCAATAAACATTGAAGAGTCACTGAACTTCATAAAGTTACACTTTAGTCAGAACAAAGGCAGCCTCTCTGTAGTCCTACTTTTWTTTTCATSATTTTATATTTGTGAAGCAGCGTTTTCTGCACTGACAGAAACCAGAACATAAGAACAACTCTTTGGGTGTCACCGTCTCCAGTCACCTCCAGATCAGACCACCTGCTTGAGGCAAAGCAAGCAATTAAAAAAAACATGAAACATATTCTCTACAATTGTTTTCAGTCCAATCAATTTTCACTACCTGTTCAAGTCAGTGACATTTTAAGCAGAATTTTCTACAACTGATTTACTTTTTCTTCCTGTGAGTCAATAGTTCTCAAACTTGTAACAAAAGTGGTGCTCGGGATCCCTCTGGTGGTCTTTAGAAGAATGTTTAGCATCAACTGTTTACAAGTTAAGAGGTGGTGATTGTGGTGCCTTTGATTAGGCAAACTCTTTAGCAACTCTCCTCTGCCGTCCACGCAAATGTTAGAAATGCAAATGTCAAAATGCAGCAGCTACACCGCTCTCAAACAGACAAACTCGCATAACTCCCCCCGTTAAACTCCCTCATCGGCTTCCTGTGGAGTTCAGGATCCAGTTTTAAATTCTCACAATCACGTACAGAGCGTTGCGTGGCCAGGACTTTACACATGTCCCCTCACACACACTAGTAACTCTAATCACCTACTCGTTCCTTGATTCCAACACGTGATGACGGAGCATTTCAGCTTGTAGCTCCCAAACTTTGGAGCGCATTTACAGCGCTCTCTAAGAGCTGCGGATTCAGTGGAAATTTTCAAAAAGCAGCTTAAACTTAACATGTTTGTGTGTAGTTTTCCTAATGTCTTATTACTGTTTTTATCATTTGTAGATGTATTTTWATGTGCTTTGTTGTGGGTTTTTTGTGAAGTTGTATTGTGAAGCACTTTGTCATTRCTTGACTGTGAAAAGTGCTTTACAGATAAAGTCACTTGCTTTATTAACCACCATAATCTGGAATAAATGTAAAACCGAAAGGAGGGGTGGTGCAAGTAACTTATGACCAAAACTGCAACCTTTACAAAGATGATCGTTAATCAGTGTGGTAGTTATTATTTAAGTRGGGTCTAAAAGATAAGCGAAGAAATTTGATTCAAATAGACTCAAACTTGTGTTAAATTGTTGTGCTGCGGTAGAACAGCTCAGCCTGCAGAGTATGAAATGCTTGAATCGACTGGATCTTAAACCTCGCTGTAGTTCAATTTTCTCCTTTATTTCAGTAATAAATACTCGTTTCTATTCCTGTTTGGTCATTTCTGTAACAATGGTGGTACTTTTTTTAACAATGGTAAAATTTTAGGACATTGATGAGGTTGTAAAAAATGTAAAACTAAAACTGATGGAAGTTGTACTGATCAAATAAATCCACCAGGTGGGACCAAAACATAGTCTAAGGATAAAGTTTTGTCCAGTTCTTTGGTTAAAAGAAACCAGTTTTCTTAATTAATGAACAGATTTTTTTAAAAAAGGAACGAGTTGTGAAATAATAAACTGTGGATAAGTGTACATACAACACACCAATAACACTCTCCTCCCCCCGTGTCTGATTTCCTGGTACATTAAAGTGAATTGAAACCCAACACTCTGGTTAGAGGTCCTCCTGTTTGGCCTTAAAGCCTTGAACAAACCACAAATCCACAGAAAGCTGCTGCTGATTGTTTTCATGAATGAAAACTGGGAGATGAGAGCAAAAACAGCAGCTGTGTCCCTGCCCAACAGGTTTCGAGGAATTTACTATGAAACCCAGATAACAATCGGGGAAATAACAAACCTTCGCGGCTCTTTCTCGTCAATCTCGGCTCTCATAGAGGCGAGAGCTGCGGGGGTAAGGCCAGATCAAATATTGTCCGTCATCATGCTGAAAGGATATGAATTTGTAAATGTTTTTAGGAGTGCTGAGCGGCGGCTAAGAGCTCGTGGTGTTCATCTTGTCAGAGGGGCTAACAAACGAAGCGGAGGTGGAGCTGCTGTTAAAGCTCGTAGAGACGCAGAGGAGGGTTTCTTTCACTATACAAACATCAGAATCACCGGCTGAACTGTGCAAATACAAGTTCTCACGTTTCTGAACATCCATACTTGAGCTTCCCAGAATGACACTAAAAGCAAACATATCAAACGTCGAACAAGGTAACATTTAAAGACGCTAAAACCAGAAAAGATCTGACGACTCGGCTGGTTTCAGTTCCAGAGACCAGGAGCCTCAGAGCTGAGGGCTCGTGGACGCAGAACAGAGAGGGACACCTGCAGCTGGACGTACCTGAGCCTGAGCTCCACTCAGCATGAGGTAATAAAGCTGGCTGAGGATGCTCTGCTGCAGCTGCTCCCACGACATGCTCCTGTCTTCAAGCAGGAGGAAAGGAGGCCCAAATCTGAGAAGGGGAGCCAAAAAGGAAAAACGTATTCAGATGTGAGTACTTTCTTTTTATTAAAAGAAATTCAACCAAGAAAACACCCTAATTAGTCAGCATGCATATTTTTAATATAGTTTAATTTGTTAAATGCAACTGTTTGCATATTGTCTGTAAAAAGGGATATTTTGGCTGCGATGAGGTGGTGGTCTGTGCAAACGTTATCTGTTGTAGATGACTTTAAAGCCTTAGTTTGGAGATATAAACAAACAAAGAAAAGCTAGCTTAGGCTAGTCGAATTTCAGAAAACAATTGGCGTCTCATTTCCTGCTGGTTTCCTACAGGGAAATCCCCAAAACGGACCCAGATATTTACTACGACTGAGCCTGGTGGTTGGTGAACAGATGAGGTTTCAAATGTCAGATTCTGACATTCTCCCTCTTTCAGAAGCGTCGGCAATCTGTTCCCGTCCAACCCACCGTCCGTCCACACAGGGCGGTGTGAACGCCGTGTTCACGTTCGCACATTCGGGAGCAATAACACCCGGGTCCCGAAGGGCGACTGGTGACAGAATGTGGAGACAAATAAATCTGTTTGTCAGTCAGAGGTTACACTTTAATGATCCGTGAAGGGATTTATCACAAATTAGGAGCAGCAATTTGATGGAGCCCTCTCTGTGAAAATATAGTGCTTCACTGTTGTGTTGATGCTGCTACATGCACATCCTCTGGACACATGCTTCCTGTTTTAAATAAAAAGGTTCAACCTCAGAATAATAAGCTGTTTAGCCAGTGGTGGGCAATAGCCCGCTAAAGCGCAAATCCGCTAATTGCGGACCTATTTTGTTTGCGCTTTAGCGGTCTTACTAATTTTTATAATTCATTAGCAGATTTGCGCTTTCTAAAATTAAAATGCAGTACCGCTAAAAACGAATTATCTACCAGTCATCATTATCTTGAACAGCAGAAGGTATGTCTGTCAATGAATCACAACACGTGATCTATCCAACAGCACCCCTCCCAGATAAACACACTTATTGGAAATGCATACATCCTTGCTGACTGTCGGAGCTCCTTTTAAAAATAAAGTTTAAACACTGGAGCTCAATACTTGACGTAATCGGTCGAAGCAATTGGCCAACGGGGTTAAAAATGATTTAAAGATGTCATGCTGATGAAGACAAACATCTTGTTGTCAACTGGAGCAACAACATGGAAAACTTTAAAATCCAAGCTCTTATTTTGAAGGGAAGATAGTTTCCTGTGCTGCGTGCTTTCGTTTCCTGTCACAAATCAAATCAGTCATGTACCCAGAATGCATCGCTTCAGTTTTCCAATAAACAGTTTTAAAATTACTTTATTGATGCTTCTTTAATGAAAAATCTACAATAAACAAAAGAAAAAGACAAAGAAGCAGCCGAACTAGCAATCCTCAACAACTTTTTAATTTTTACACCAGGAGCCAAAGTTCTGTTTCAGGAAATCACATCCCCAGCAATCAGCGGTTGTAGGATCATGCGGGTTCATACACTGCTAGTTGGCAGTGTTGTGCATATATTGTACATGAATTATTGCCAGCTAGTAAGTGTCAAATTGAACTTGCGCTTTAAAATTAGCTTCCACTAGTTTTTCTATGGCATATGTGCTTTTGAAGTTGCAGACCTAAATATTTTCATAAGTGCTTTAGAAATTGCGGAGCTAATTTTTGGATTAGTGCTGCCCACCACTGTGTTTAGCAAATAAAGCAAAGAGAGAGCTCAGGTTGTTTTTTTTTTCAGTGGTGCTGGGTCTCTGATTCAGCTCTGGAATTTGTTTGGTAGAAAAAAACCTTTGTGCCCAGTAAAACCACAACAAAGGCACCATTTTTACAGTTTTTGTTCCACTTCTCTCACTTTATCCTGAGCTGGTTTCAATTAACCCCTAAGTGCCAACATTTACTCACAGCTAYACAAAAAAAAAAGGGTTTTGTGATGGACTTGTGGCCCAACGGTGGATGCAGAGACAGAGGGGAGACCCTCGTGACGTGTACTGCGGTAGGAGGGGTTTCCCAGGACCGTGTGTCCCCTGAGCTCTGAAAAGGTGTGTGCGTGGAAACGAACAGCTCACCTGACCGCCTGCTGGCCCGATCCGGCTGTGTTGCACACGAGCAGAGTGATTTTGGCAGAGCTGCTGTGGTTCAGGTACTCCGAGGAGAGGCGTCCTGATGCAGGCAGCCTCTGACCCTCAGGCCCGGTCGAGGAGGAGTAGGGAGACGAGGGGAGGCTGTGGTGATACCCTGAGCAGAGCGAAGGAGGACACATGTCTCACACTGACAAAGACTTTGTTCTTCCACTAGTGAACTTGTGAGAAAAAACACTGAATGTTCAATAAATCTGAACACACGAGGAGTCTTCGGTGCACCATTCTCCAACAGGTTTATTACATCATGATTCATTTTAAATGTCAATTCTATTAAGCTGATAGGGAAGACTAAATGGTAATAAAACAGCTTCGGGTGCCAAMATGAGTAAACAGCTACACAAACACTCCAATCCACTGTGACATGTTTACACAATCACTCTGGAAAATAGTAAAAAACATAAATAAATAAATAAAAATGTCCATTGCAGCAGAGCTGCCCTTTGATTCTTGTTTACCCTGAGGAGCTGTAAAAGGAATTGCCTTTGCCACTGCACACACTTCCACACAAGAAAGGAACCTGCTGCTGTGATTAATGATGGGGTAATAGCTGGAGGGGATCCAACAGGCACAACCTCTTGTCTCCAAGGAAACATAAACTCTGACATTATCAAAAGATTTCATTAAATAGTGCTTGTTTGATCCCTAACATGCAATTAATCACTGACACTGTCCACTTTCTCTCTCTCTCTCTGTCTGTCTGAAATCTGAAGACATGGAGCGTGAACAGATGTTAAACACAATTTAAATTCCTCTACAGAAGCAACTAAAACAGAAAAAAATGTGTTCATCTGAAGAGAAACTTAGATAAAAACAAAACATTTGTTAAAGAAAATATTAGATGAAATTTATGACAAGTTGTGATGAATGTTTCACCAGTTTGTTGTTAAAGTGTTTGCTCTGCAGGCCTGCTGACCCACCTCTGTGGGACTCCAAAACTAAACCTAATGCCAGGGTCACATGGCAAGATAACAATTCCCTCTTCCAACAATCTTAAAAAGGTGGGGTTTTATTTAGAATAGAATAGAATAGAATAGAATAGAATAGAATAGAATAGAATAGAATA